GGTCCGCCCCCGAAACCACTCCAAAGCTCGGGATCTTCGTCCCATGCCGCCCTTCTAGAAACAGTCGTAGTATCCCTCCTTGCGTGTAGCGCACCCAAAGTCAGTGTCCTCCGCTCTCTTCGCCCGAAATGTTCCTACAATCCCACTCCTCCTGCAGGTCCCTCAGAGGGTCGTGGCAGTTCGTGCCACTTCCTCCCATGGCTTGCCAGAGGCGAATGGGGGTCGAGGACTTAGGGCCTTCCGGGATTCAGGAGATGTCATGTTTGCGGGTACCGGTAGCAACCTGAACAAACTTGACTGTAATACTGTAAGCTTGCCAGAAGTCCTGGAACCCAGACTTGAACCTCAACCACCAAACAGAGACTTGCCCTAGCATCCCCGAAAGCGCACAATCCCCGACTCTACCTTCCTATCCTGGCACGGAGCCCCGACGCCTTCCACCAGAGACCCTCCCAACCTGGGAGGCGGCTGCTAGTCGGGTCGTTTCCTCGCATGGCCTTCCAAGTGCGCAAGAGGCCCGAATCAGGATTCGACGCCATTCGTCCTCCCATCGCGGTCGCTTGCTTTTCTGCTGCCGCCGACGGTGACGATGACGAGAACAAAGTGGACAGACAAGCAGGACGATGATTATGGTGATGATTCTGCCGAGTGGTAATGATTCTCCTTCCTACTTTTGTCATGAGTCTCGCATCCCCGTCCTGGTGCTCCCCCCTCCCTCCGTCTTGAATTTTGGGAAGTTGGACTGGATTTGGAGCTCAAAAATTGTCTAAACCCTAAACCCTAAACCCTAAACCCTAAACCCTAAACCCCTAAACCCTAAACCCTAAACCCTAAACCCTAAACCCTAAACCCTTGTGGAGTCCGCGGGCCTCAGAGCTCGGATTTGGCGTCAGGGCCAGGGCCGTGGAAGGGCCGGTAGCCCTTCGGATGAAGCTGTGAGTCCCAAAGGGTTTAGGGTTTAGGGTTTAGGGTTTAGGGTTTAGGGTTTAGGGTTTAGGGTTTAGGGTTTCGGGTGTGTGAGTCCCAAAGTCACGGACCCCAATCCTCCAAGGCTGGAATAGGGTTCCTTTAAAGGGTTTGGGTTTAGGGTTTAGGGTTTAGGGTTTAGGGTTTAGGGTTTAGGGTTTAAGGGATACTATGAGGGCTACCATAAGGGTTCCATAATATAGGGGCCTTAAGAATTAGAATGCTACGGGGCCTGGGGTAGTTGGACTCATCCGGTCCAAAAATATCCCACTACATTCAAGGCCTGATAATGGCCCACAAACGCCCAGTTGGGTGCACCCCAGGGGAAGTGCAAAGCCAAGCAAGCGCAAGCCCGAAGAGTCGTGGCGACCACCGCAAACCAACCTGAACTCAGCAGTTGCAGCTCTTGAAAGCAACGCCACAACTCCCAAACATGTCACAGTGAGCCCGAAGTTCTTGCACTCCGGAGCCCTGAAGCCTTAAACCCCACGCCTTCAACCCTGATCCCAACACCCGAAAGCAATTCAACCCAGCAGGTGCCGCCGCCGACGCCGGGCAGTCAGCCCCGGGTGATGCGAGCCGGTAGCCGCCTGGAGGTCGACTGCTCGGGTTCTTAGCGGGTTTGGGGTTTAGGGTTTCGGGCTCTGAGGAAGACCTCTTGGTTGACGATGAGATTCAGCTGACGCCTCCGTATTTGTTTTTTGGCCTGTGGGGGTCTTGCGGCCTAGGTTTGGGTCTCGGCGTAAGGCGGCACCCGGCAAGAGCTAGCAAAGCCATCCAGACCTTGGCTAGGCATTCCCACCTTTTTCACAGACGGAAGCATGGACCTGATAGTTCTTCGAAAAAATCGGAGTCCTCAGCGTAAGGCGTATACTTGCAAAATGGAGGAGGCCTGATTTTTGTGTCAATGCACGAAGTGGCGTGGAAGTCAGCCGGGTTCTGGGCGTATCAGCTTTAAGCCTTGCAAGTGCTGAGAGTTGGTTGAAGGCTCGATTTTCTTTGGGGTTTAAGGTCAAGGCTGGTGGGTGCAATCAGAACATGTGCTGCACCTTTGCACGTTGTTTCTGGGCTGCCTTAGCTTCTAGGGGTTTATGTACCATGTGCCAGGCAGTTTGAACGTCTGACGTTACCCTGCACCGTTAAGTCAAGGCCATCGAAAGACGACGTGTTCGGCTCGAGTGTCGACTAAAACGCTAATCCCAAGCCCCAGAAACCCCCCATCCACCATCCCCAAACCCTGAAACCCTGAAACCCAAAACCCCAAGGCAGCAATATAGGGGCCATGCTAGTAATAATAACCTATACGATTTTGGGGGTTCCTTATTATATTTATATTGTAATGTACCCCATATTCTTGTTGTGATGTAGCCCCAAAACCATATTCTAACAGTTAAGGCCCCTACATCAAACATCAGTAAAGCCTACAGAGTTGCGACACACCAAAGATCCTCCGAAGCGCAACATCCCCGAACCCTACTTAAAGGATCATGGGACTTAGTAAGTAGGGTTATAATTAGGGTAACTATACTTATAGCCCCAATTAAGGGACTTATAACCTTGCTTGCTAAGTCCCATGATCCTCCAAGTAAACCCTAAACCCCTAAACCCTAAACCCTAAACCCTCCAAGTAAACCCCCACTGAAAGAAACCCAAGTTTAAAGAGCTAGCCATCTGGAAAGAGACCCAAAGCCCCCAGGCCCCTACACTGCGGCATCTTCCTG